GGCCTCCCAAAGTGCTGGGATTACAGGCTTGAGCCACCGCGCCCGGCCTCTTCCCTTTTTTTTTTTGAATAATTTGGATACAAGGTTAAACATTTATTTCTCTGTGTAACTTTTAATATATGAATAAGGATTTACTTTTTTTCTTTTCTTGGGTGTTAATTATAGCCAAGTCAAATTTAGTTTCTCAAGGACATACTGAGAGTAGAGGCAAGATTCCATGAATGATTCAATAATTCTGTACGCTGCTACTGCCTTGAGCTACTGCCCTCTTTCACAAGGCACTGATCGTTCCTTTCTGGTTATGAAATTTTGGGGAGGAATGTAAAGAAGGAGTTAAATCTGGTTTGCTTGGTTAAGCAGTGACACAGATGATGTGTTACTATTTTACAGATATTAATAATGCAGTGTTGTATCTTATGGTTGATTTCCCATGGCAGGCAGCCTTTCCCTTAACAAGGTTATTGCATCATACATTTCTGTTGCTAACATTAAACAGTTAAAAGGTTTAACTTAAAAAACTTTATTCAAAGCACTTTATTACACACTTTGTGCTGGATTTCTAAAATTATACAGTATTTAAATTGAGTGCTTCAATCATTTGATTAAAGTGCAAAAATAAGTGTGATATACCTATTATCCAGCAAGGCAGCACAGTCAAGGCAATTATTAGTAAACTTTAACAGAGTAATGCATTTATTTGGCAGGATTTATAATGGCCCTACTTTTTGAGTTTGTGTATAATTGAGAATAAATTACGTTGTTATTTCATGTCTTTGCTATCTATTTGAACGAATTTTTTAGTAATTGTTACTGCTCTTTTACTTTCTTTTTGAGATGGAATCTCTCTCTGTCATCCAAGCTGGAGTGTAGTGGTGCAATCTCAGCTCACTGCAACCTCCACTTCTAGGGCTTAAGCGATTCTCCTCCCTCAGCCACCTGAGTAGCTGGGATTACAGATGTGTGCCACCACGCCTGGCTTATTTTTTGTATTTTTAGTAGAGGTGGGGGCATTTCACCATGTTGGCCAAGCTGGTCTTAAACTCCAGACCTCAGGTGATCTGCCGGCCTTGGCCTCCCAAAGTGCTGGGATTACAGGCATGAGCCGGTGTACCCAGCCTGCGCGCATGCGCGCTCTCTTTTGAGATAAGAGTCTTGCTCTGTCACCCAAGCTGGAGTGTGGTGGGAAAATCATGGCTCTCTGTAGCCTCTGCCTCCTGGCAGTCCTCCCACCTCAGCCTGGAATTACAGGTGCAGGCCACCACACTTGCTAATTTTTAAAATTTTTTGTAGGGATGAGGTCTTCGTATAAATCCCAGCCTGGTCTCAAACCTGTGGGATCAAGTGATCCATCCACCTTGGCCTACCAAAGTATTGGGATTACCAGTGTGCCTGTCCTGTTACCACTATACACAAGGAGTATCATGATTGTGGTCAAGGTAGAAGAAAAATATAGACTAACTTTAAAATACTGACTGGGCCTGGCATGGTGGCTCACACCTGTAATTCCAGCACTTTGGGAGGCCGAGGTGGGTGGATCACGAGGTCAAGAGATCGAGACCATCCTGGTCAACATGGTGAAACCCCGTCTCTACTAAAAATACAAAAAATTAGCTGGGCAT